GGGATGAGGTGGAGATGGATGGAGATGAGATGGGATGGGGTAGGGATGGATGGAGATGAGATGGGATGGGGTGGAGATGAGATGGGATGGGATGGGGATGGATGGAGATGGATGGAGATGAGATGGAGATGGATGGAGATGGGATGGGATGGGGTGGAGATGGATGGAGATGGGATGGGGATGGGGATGGGATGGAGATGGAGATGGGATGGATGGGACAGGGGTCAGAGGAGATTCACAATCAAGGACTCAAAAATTCACATCAAGGACTCAAAAATTTACAATCGAGGACTCAAAAATCCACAATCGAGGATTCTAAAATCCAGGTATTGAGGATTCTAAAACGTATCAAAAATTCTAAAATTTGAGTATCGAGGATTCCAAAACCCATGGATTGAGAATTCTGAAATTTGTCGATGAGAATTCTAGAATTTGAGGATTCTAAAGTTCATGGATGATGATTCTAATATTCATGGATTGAGAATTCTGAAATTTGGGGATGAGGATTCTAAAATTCCTGGACTGAGAGTTCTAAAACTTGTGGATGCACATTCTAAAAGTCACAATAGAGGATTCTAAAATTGACAGACCGAAGAGTCTGAAATCTGTGGATAAAGATTCTAAAATTTGTGGGTGAGGATTCTGAAATTCAGGGATTGAAGATTCTAAAATTCACAGATTGAGAATTCTGAAATTTGGGGATGAGAATTCTGAAAGTAACAAATTGAGAATTCTAAACCTCATGGATTAAGAATTCTAAAATTTGTGGAGGAGGATTCTAAAATTCACAGATTGAGGATTCTAAAATTCACAGATTGAGGACTCTAAAATTTGTGGATTGAGAACTTCCTCAACACTGAGATTTTAGCAGAAACCCCAAGCGACGGCGGAGAGAAAATAAACCCTCACACCCTAAATATCAAGGAAATCTGAAAATTCCCCAGGAGCGGGTGAAAATATCCATTTTCGACATTTTCTTTTTTTGATCTCTTTACAGAATTGTGGTTTTTTTCATTTGAACTCACCTCAGCGATGGGTTTCCCGAAGGTCTTCCTCTCCAGCGCGTACTTGGTGGCCTCGTCCATGGCTCTTCTGGCCAGGCCCACGGCGCCCGCCGCCACCTGCGCCCACGGGAGAAACGGGGGAAAAGGGGTAAAAACACCAAACCCAAATGGGGATTTTGGAGGGAATGTGGAATTTGGGGGGGCTGTGGGGACTCACGGGGGGGCGGGTCTTGTCGAAGGCCCCCATGGCGATCTTGAAGCCGGCGCCCTCGCCCAGGAGGACGTTCTCCTTGGGCACCCGCACGTCCTCGAAGAGGATCCCCCGCGTGTCCGAGCAGCGCTGGCCCATGTTCAGCTCCTGCCGGGCCCAAAATCACACCGTTTCACACAAAAACGGCATTGTGTTTCCTTATTTCATCAAGGCAGGAGAAAAACGGGTTTTTTTCCCACCCCAAACGCTTCAGTTTTGTCAAAATGGTGATTTTTCGACAATAAATCCCGGTTTTTTCCTTTCCTGATCCCGACGCCCTCGATTTCTCAGAAGCCAGGAAATTTAATTTCTCCAATTCTGCAATTAATTCCGTTATTTCTCCAATTCTGCAATTAATCACTCGTTTGGCCTTTTTTTCTACTTCAATTCCGTGAGATGCAATTCTCAGATTTCTACAAGATTCAATTATTTCATAATTCTATTTTGACGAGATTTGATTGTTTTATAATTCTATTTTTACAATATTTGATTATTTTATAATTCTGTTTTACAATATTTGATTATCATTCTATTTCTGTGAAATTTGAATGTTTTATAATTCTATTTCTATGAAATTTGCATGTTTTATAATTCTAATCCTATGAAATCCAATTATTTTATAATTCTATTTTTACAACGTTGGATTATTTTATAATACCACTTTTACGAGATTCAATTATTTTTTAGTTCTATTTTTACAATAATTGGTTATTTTACACTTCTATTTCTATGAGATTCAAGTATAATTCTATTTCTACAAGATTCGATTATTTCATAATTCCATTTTGACAAGATTTATTATTTCATAATATTTTTATGAGATTGGATTGTTTTTTAATTCTATTTTAGGGCATTTGATTATTTTACAATTCCATTTCCACAAGATTCATTTTAAATTTTTACAAGATTCAATTATTTTATAATTCTATTTTTCCAGATTTGATTATTTTTATAATTCTATTTCCACGAGATTCAATTTCTCCTTCGATTTGAGACACGAGGGGAAAAGGGAAAGGCCCTAAACCACAGAGAATTAGTAAAACCCCCCCTTATATAAAATAAATAAATTCAATTTTCCAATTTTCCCATCCTTCCCCTAATTTTCAACATCCAATTGCTGCTAAAAAACAGTTCTTTCTTTGTTTTCTTTATGTTTTCTTATTTTTTCCCCCCAACCAAGGACGTGCCCCCCATCCCCAAGGCCCCTTCCTGGTTCTTGCGCTCGTTAATTCCCGTTAATTAACGTTTGTCAATTAAACACTTCTCAACGTCTCATTTCCAGCCATCGAAATTCATCTCAATTTAGAATATTCCGGGTAATTCCTTAATCTGAAGCTGTGAAATTCTACTGTTGATAAGGGGGGGCCAAGGGAACGCGCCCTGGCTTTAACGAGCTCTGTGTTTCCGGCGTTGTTAATTAGGATAATTAAGGGGGACACACCCACCTTCCTCCCGACCTGGATGCCGGGGCTGTCGGCCTCCACGATGAACCCGGTGAAGGCTTTGCTGGCCGGGGTTTTTGGGTCCGGATCCGTCCGAGCCAGTAAAAAATACCTGGGGGGGGGGAATCCCCAAAATTACACTTTTTAACCCATCA